TTTTCCCTGGTACCCTGGAATGACTTTTTTTTTTTCTCCTCCTCTCCCCGATGCTCCCCTCGCTGCCACTGGCCTCGCTGCTCGGTCCGAGAGGTGTTGTTGGATTCGCCTTCTATAGGCAGGGAACATCCCTTTTCTTTTTTGGCTCAATTCGAGTGCCGTGGACCGTGGTGTGTGGTCTCTTTTCTCTTCTCCCCCCTTCTCTGCCTATAAGGATAGTTCCGTTTGAAGTTTTAGTTGTTGTTGAAAAATTGGCAAGAGGAGAGGAAAGGAGATTTCTGGAAGAGCATTTTCTTTGAGTTGGTTTCCTGTGCTGCTTTGCTTTAGCATTCTTGAGGTACCCCATTCTTCCCCCCCTCTTCTTCGGTGCTCTGTTTCTTTTCGGTTTTCCTCTCTGCCGAGGCTTCGAGCTTGTCCCTGTTGGATGATACAGCATGCTAGCTCCCTTTACTTTCATATATTTTGAGGCATTCACTTTAAAAGCATTTGAAGGATGAAATGTGAGCATATTTTAGGATTTAGATTTGAATATTTGCTTAAAGTATTGGAGATATGACATGTTCTTTGTTTATCCTATCATATTTATGTTGGTAGCGATTGGGATAATTGAAGCATGGTTTTTGGAATAATTTCTACTCCTCTTGCAAGCATGTTGGGATGTGTATTGTTAAACTTTCTGCTTATCTTTCGTTTAGCATGAGATATTGAAGAATTTATTGGGGCTTTCATGCATGCTAGGGAGGTTTCGGCTTTGGCATCTTAAGACTTGCTCTTGCTTAAAAATGAATGCTAGAGAGTTCATTTTATTTTTTTTTATACTTGTGTGGGGCTCGGTTTAGCTCCTCGTGAGGTATCGCCCCTGTTGAAATATCCGTTGGAATTGTTTCATGCTTGAAATATTTATATATGCAGGTGATTCCTCAGTTTGGAGGCTTGGTCTTGGCTTGAAATGGCTAGATACACTGGAATGACATTTTTTTCTCCTCCTCTTCCTGATGCTTCCCTCGCTGCCACTGGCCTCGCTGCTCGGTCCGAGAGGCGTTGTTGGATTCGCCTTCTGTAGGCAGGGAACATCCCTTTTCTTTTTTTGCTCAATTCGAGTGTCGTGGACCGTGGTGTGTGATCTTTTTTCTCTTCTCCCCCCTTCTCTGCCTATAAGGATAGTTCCGTTTGAAGTTTTAGGAGTTGTTGAAAAATTGGCAAGAGGAGAGGAAAGGAAATTTCTGGGAGAGCATTTTCTTTGAGTTGGTTTCCTGTGCTGCTTTGCTTTAGCATTCTTGAGGTACCCCTCTCTTCCCCCTTCTTCGGTGCGTGCTCTGTTTCTTTTCGGTTTTCCTCTCTGCCGAGGCTTCGAGCTTGTCCCTGTTGGATGATACAGCATGCTAGCTCCCTTTACTTTCATATATTTTGAGGCATTCACTTTAAAAGCATGTGAAGGATAGGAGTATGAGCATGTTTTA